GGGAAATTAAAGGAATTTAGGAAGCAGTGCTCAACTGCAAACTAACAGTGCGGCCATTATCATTGATCTGAGTACATTTTATGCTCGGCCGCTCCACGTTTACGAAGCAGAATCCTCATCGTTGAAGAGCCATATGGTGCGAAATGAACCACGTTACAAGTATTTTTACATTGCTTGTGACATCTGCATCAGGATCAATTTGAAACGCGCCTAATGAACTTTTCAGTGATCCAGTAGCTTACCCTCTTCACTAGGACGACTTGGATGAATTTTCTTAATCTGAAGACTTTTGGATCATCATTTCGGCAATTTTTAATTGTGATATTTGGAATTCATTTTGCTGCTGTGCGAGATTTATTAGGATCGATCTACAGAAATAGATTTACTGAAGATCTATTTACTTTTGCGTCAAGTTACTTTGTTGACGAAGTTTCCAGTAAACACTTAAAACTGCTTTGAATAGTTTACATATTCGGCTACCTAAAATTCCAATAAAAGCCTCACAACAGCCTGTGATTGATAAGGTTCTAAAACATTATGAAAAGATAAACTTACTTTACCTTGTACAGTGATATATATATATATATATATATAAGTTTCTTCTACATCAAAAACTGTGATACTATGATCTCGCAGGAATTACAGGGTGGACGTATTACCAGCACTCACTACTAGTATACTTCGTATACTGATGTCGGGTAGAAACACATTTCTGATTCTGATGTCTCTACTCTATTCAGGTCTTCTTGAAGATAAGAGTTATTCGCAGATCCTTTCATTTCCACTAAAATTTTAGGACCAACCCCGTTTAGTTTAGTCTAGGACTTGATGTTAGATAGTAAACTGATAAAATAGAATAAGATGTCCTTTCACTACTGCACCGAGGTTAAACCTCACCAGCTCCTGTAGACAACTAACAACTGAAGAGGGCTTCAGAGAAGACCTGATTGTTTCGGTACTCTAGGTTGGACTGCATGCAAGTGTTATGATTTTTATGGGTTTAAGCACTTCCGTGTGGTCTTTAACTGGTGTGTAGACCATGAGATCTCGGATTTCTACCGTAGACGTGTAAGCCATTCGGTAAGCTAAAGCGAAATCTGATCAAATATATCCTGATATTCGTGCACACCAGCGAAGTTAGATTAATAAATTCTAAAAATTAAATTTTTTAAGGTGTAACATTCTATTTTCCAAAACTCTTGTTTTCCACACATAGAATAATCAAAACATAGGTCTAGTTGTTTAAAAGTAATTCTGCTTTTATAAGGATAAAAACTTTTAACTTCAAGGGATCAGCACCGTAAAAATCTAAATGACACAGTTTTATAACCATGATTTACTACGTTTTGTACATGGGCGGAGCCCATGGTTCCATCGTTGAACAGAAGATTAAATGAAGGGCATTTGGCTCTTGCTCTTTTCAAGAGCTCCAGTCCTTATTTTAATCGGTTTCGTTTGCAAAGCCTGTTGCAAGCGAATGATAGCCCAGGTTGTCTGCTGCATGTGTCACTATGTGTCCAAGCAGTTAAAACTCCAAGTTTTGTCTAACAATTTTCCCAGTTTTGACTTAATAAGTAGTCCATCTGGGAAGCAAAACATGGACTGAGCGTGACGTAGATGTCAGCTGCAGTGCTATTTCTTCTATGAACGGGATCAAAAGAATATAGCTTGTTGATTTTAAAGACATTACAGGGGCAGACGGCATTGGATGAATCCGTGAAGGCGGTCCCAGAAGCCTTTGGATTTGCAGCTCGAGACATCTGACACTATTAGATAGTTCTAGCTTCTTTTCGTGCTACCATTATACCCGAAAGTCTCATTATGGACGACAGACTTAACATCAACAATGCTTCATGTACAAACTTATAGTGTCCCAACAATATTTCATTTAGAGTTCACATTTTACAGGACATTCGACAGCGAGCAACATATTATTTAAACATTATTTTTTTAGAATGTGTCGCCCAGTAAGTTTCAATTGTTTCTGAAGGCAGTGTTACGACAGAAGTTGATTGAAAAATGATGTATCTGGTCCATTAATATTGTTTTTAGATCATATTTGTACTCCGGTCGGGTTGAACATGAAAATCCTACTTTTTTCAGTTATCTTAAGAACTTATTGATGAAGAAAGAAAAATAGACCCAGACATTCAGGCAACGCGTTCTACTACCACTACTGCTACTATTCCTACAGAGCAACACAAGTGCTGTAGAAGCCACATAATAATAATATATTTCTGCATGAGCAGGTACACACCAGTTTTTAGGCATGATCTACAAACTGAAAAATTTGGTGGATCACAAAATGCTTCCCAACCTATCAAGTTTATAGTTGTTATAAAGTAGACTCGTAGAGCGCTTGCTTCAAACGATGACCTTATGAGACACTTACGTCAATTTTGTTCCAGACGTCAGAAGTTCCATAGCTGTGCCCTCAGAACAAGACTCTGAAGAAAGAAGAAAGAGAAATAGAAGAGCAGCAAGGCACTTAGATATGAACGCCAAACGTTGCTTAAAACTTTGTAGTAGAACAAACTAAATTAAATTCATATTAACTCTTGTTAGAATAAAATGATGTCAGAGGCTACATATAAGAGAATGTAGTAATAAAGCACAATGAGTTATGGTGTTTAACAAGAAGACTAACATAAAGACCCTACTCAATGTCGTCCAATTAACTTGTTTCCGAGAAATAGACATTGTTTACAGGCAAGGTATTACGAATTGGTCAATTAGTTCTCTGAGAAGGTTGTTATTCGTAGCACTCATGACACATTGTACATACGAAGACGTGAATGTCCACGTGCATGTCAACCAATGAGAAATTATGTGCGTAACTCCACCTAACACACCATTAGTTTTTTCATAAAATACCTCTTCAATACGAGATTTTACTGAAAAGTATGCCATCAGCATGAAATTCATGGAATGTGACCGCTGCTTCCGGCTCGAAATGCAGTCACTGTGTAGGGATTTGATAACATGCGCCGTGCAATATAACGAGAATATAAGGAGCATAAGCCCACATCAAAAACGTTTGATATTATATGCTGAATACTTGTGTGGCGGTGACGTTCTGCGGAATGACCAATACACATCTCCCATCCAGCAGCTGACACGAGTGGACATTATGAGGTGTCTGGGTAACGTGGCAGCTAATCACTAAAAATTCTGGCCGATTGTTAGCATATTGTTGTGCATAATGTGTGGTTCTGTCCCTGTGCCTGCTGATCACTATCGCGTGATTTCGATGTTTTCCTAATATTACATCAAGTCCATGTGACCGGGTATCGTGTTTAAGGCAGACGAGTAAGATATACTGAACAAAAATGACGTTGCTCCAAAATTTGGCTTAGATGCACAACTTTCCATCAAGGGCTTTGATGACAATGACACGGTATAAAATAGGTTGGGTTGACATACATCATAACTTCTATCCAGTTCACCATAGTCAGCTTTACAGAAAGTATTTATTCATTCATGATTAATTATGTTTGTGCACAAATTAGCCTATTTCAGACTTTTATGAGCAAAACTATTAGCTCCATATCACATTTACATTACATTACAGCTAGGTGAGTTTTGGTGTAATGTAAATGTGGTGTTTGAATGAACCAATGATACCTTGGTACTGGTTGAATGCTTGATTTCGAATTCTAAATACAATACATTCGTTTGTGCCTGTGTCTTCTTAATTCAATTGCGTTAATGCTGGAATTCCTAATTCATACGACAATTAGAATACTATATTGGCGTCGTGATGGAACCTGCAATGGAAAAGTTGGATATTCATTCAACTCCTGAAGCTATTGAGGATTATTTGGAAAGGTTCGAAATTTGGAGCATGACCAAGAAAGACGTTAAAGGTGAGAAAATTGTGGCACATTTTCTGACATTCATTGGGAGAGAAGTGTACAGCTTATTAAAAACTTTGGCATATCCAGAAAAACCTATCTCACTCCCTTATGCAACTCTTAAAGAGCTATTGTTAAGTCATGTAAAATGCACCAGTTTTGAATGCCGTGAAAGGGCGAAGTTTCATAAGATGGTTCGTCAAAATGACCAAAATGTTCGGGAATTCATCCTTGAATTACAGAAACAAGCTGCCAAGTTTAATTTCGGTGATCAACTTCATGTGCAACTGAGAGATCGATTAATTGCAGGAATTAACATACCGAGTTTGGAAAGAGAGCTGTTAAGAATGCCAAACTGTTCCTCCCAAGATGCTTGAACTGCATGTATTAACTACGAAGTAGTCAATGGACTTGATGTCCAGTCGATGAAGATTTCTAATACATTGCTTAGTCGTCGTGATGAACTACAATCTCAGGGTCAATCAAACTTGCGTTCATTTAACAGTGATTCCTATTCTCGTGTAAATATGGAAAGTGTTTCAACGAGGAATTACAAAGCAAATCACAAAGGTGAGATGAAGTTTGGTAAATGTTTATCATGTGGAAAGTTTCATGCTCGCAATTCATGTGTATTTCGTAATGCTAAATGTTTTAAATGTGGTAAGGTAGGACACGTTCAGTCAGTATGCAAAGCTACTGTCCATTTTGCTTCAAGCTGTACAAAATCTTGTAATTTAAATTTAAATAATTCGGATGTTTCTAGTGATCATTTGTCTTTGTCCACTATTTCGAAAGGTAATGCTCATATTCAGAAGCGATTACATACATCGCTTGGTTCATTTCATGACTTTATTCTGGACACAGGCAGTACAGAGTCCATTATTTCATTCAAGAACTTGAAAGCTTTAGATCCTAACGTTGTTGTACGACCCACTGAAGTATCAATACTGGGGATTACTGGACACAGACTGGTGTTGTGAATTGCTAATCAGAGATGATAATTCTTCATACATACCTTGTGAATTTTTAGTTAGCGAAACAGGACTGTCAATATTGGGTTTAAAGAATTTGAAAAGGATTAAGGTGGAGTTGTCCTTCTTAGTTTCTAAAGAAAATTCTGATACTTTACTTAAAGATTTGATAGCTATGTGTGCTGAGTGCAGTGGAGGTATGAAAATTAAGCCTATAAAACTTCAAGTACAGGGTGATCCCGTCTTTCTTAAAAGACGAATAATTCCTTATGGTCTTCGAGAAGCAGTACATAAGACATTAAACGATTTGTGTGTGAAAGGCATAATTGAACCAATTCAGTCTTCAGCATGGGGTACTCCTATCGTTACGCCACTGAAGTCGGACGGCAAGACCCCTAGAATTTGTGGTGACTATAGATTAACTCTGAATTCCCGTTTGTTGAAGCAAGCGTGCACGACGGTAGAAGCTGAAGATATTCTAAATCGACTTCATGGTTCTAAAGTGTTCTCGAAAGTTGACCTAAAAGATGCTTATCTTCAAATTCCTCTAGATGAATCTTCATTTATTTTGATGACATTTAACACTCCTTTTGGTCTGTTCAAATACAATTTCCTTCCATTTGGTCTAAGTTGTTCTCCAGCCATATTTCAGGAAGTTATCAATAATGTAGTTAGTGATCTTGAAGGTGTTGAAGTTTATCAAGATGATCTCATTGTTCATGGCTCTAATAAGGTAGTTCATGACCAGAGACTTATTGCTTTATTGCGCCGTTTAGTTGAGAAGAATATAACAGTGAATCCTAATAAGTGTTCATTTTGTGTATCTAGTTTTGAATGCCTTGGATACCTAGTTGATGGTAATGGTTTTAGACCAGATATGAAACGACTAGCTCCACTGACTAATGCACCGTCTCCGAAAAATCTTACAGAATTACTTTCACTAGTGGGTGCTCTTCAATACTATTCCCGTTTTATTCCTAATTTTTCTTGTCGTGCAAATTGTTTATTTAATATTTTAACATCCAATTCATTCAAATGGAGTGAGGAACAAGAGTCATGTTTACGAAGTCTGCTGAAGTTTCTTCAAAGTGATGCTGTTCTTCGAACGTACTCCCCTAATGTACATTCTGTGCTTATTACTGATGCATCACCTGTGGGAATTGGTGCAGTTTTGGAACAGGAAGGTAGACCAGTTATTTGTGTTTCACGCAAACTTACTGTTACTGAACAAGGTTATTCACAGACTCAGCGAGAAGCATTAGCTGTGTTTTGGGCTGTTAAAAGACTTCATAAATATTTATTCGGAAAGAAATTCACTATTGTTACTGATCATGAAGCTTTAAAGTTTATTTATCATCCCGAAAAATCCTTAGCACGTTCCTCAGCAGCTATGGTTCAGCGATAGAGTATTGCTTTGAGTGCATATGACTATACGGTTCAGCACAGAAGTGCCAAACAGATTCAACATGTTGATTACATTTCTCGACAGTCATTACAAGATAAACATATTAATACTTCGGATTGTTTGTTAGTGCAACCTTTACCAGTGAAACGTTCAGATCTCATTGGAGAAACTCGTAGATATTTTGGATGTATACTCAGTGCTATAAGGAAAGGTTGGAATGCTAATTTGAAACGGAGATTTCCTATCTATTTTTCAAAGCGGGATGAGCTATCTACTACTCCTGATGGTATTCTGTGTTTAAATGATCGTGTTGTCATTCCTCCTTCATTGCGTAAATCTGTTCTTGAAGATCTTCATAGTGGTCATTTAGGTGTTGAGAAAATGAAGTCCTTGGCAAGGCTCACATGCTGGTGGCCAGAGATAAATGCAGATATATGTCGTACGGCAAACAATTGTGAGAAATGTTATCAGTTGAAAAATCATCCTTCGAAGTGGGTACCATGGCCAGTATCGTCTGAGGCCTGGCAGAGGATTCATGCTGACTATTGTGGACTATTTCTTGGTAAATACTACGCACTAGTAGTCATTGATTCTTTTTCAAAGTGGCCTGAAGTTTTTTTCACAACTTCACCAAATTCTGATTTCACAATACAAGCATTAAGAATGGTGTTTAGTCGAGAAGGTGTTCCCTTGGTGTTGGTGACTGATAATGGCTCACATTTTGCTGCAGATGCAGTCACTACCTGGTTGAATGGTATAGGGTGCAAACATCTATTTACTGCTCCCAGACATCCGTGTTCTAATGGTCAGGCAGAGAATTTTGTTAGGACATTAAAGACTGCTATTGATTCTATAGCCCCCTCAACATTTAATGAGCTGGAGAGGGGAGTAGATACCTTCCTATTGCAATATAGAAATGCCAAACATTCGGTGACGAAGGAGACTCCAGCGAAGCTATTGAAAGGAGGAATTCTTCGGTCGAATATGAGATGTCTGGAGTCTGCAGAAGTTACATACTATCGAGGAAATGATCTTCGACCATCTACGGGTATTGTTCTGAAGAACGTCGGAAAATCGATGGTGCGAATTCTAGACATCGATGACTTAAGTACACACAGTCGACATGTAGATCAAATACAATTTCAGGAACCAGGTGAGTCAGTTCCAATTTCGATTGTTAATTCTAATGCTAATGAGCATATTCTAGATAATACAGAATCTTTATCCATTACAATGTCAGACAGACTCAGGATGAATTTGAGAAGAAGACGTACGATTGATTACAAACACCTAGACTCCAATTTAAGCTGTGGCGGAGGTGGTGTTTGAATGAACCAATGATACCTTGGTACTGGTTGAATGCTTGATTTCGAATTCTAAATACAATACATTCGTTTGTGCATGTGTCTTCTTAATTCAATTGCGTTAATGCTGGAATTCCTAATTCATACGACAATTAGAATACTATAGTAAAGTAAAGGTGAACTGAATATAAATTATGATGTAGGTCAACCCATCCTATTTTATTCTACTAATGAAACGAAATTCGCAAACAACGGTTATTCCTATAAAATTATATCTCAAAGCTCATAGCTGTTGGCAGTTATCTTAAATATTAATAAAACTTTTGTGGTTATTATTATCTAAATTCGTGAGAGATGAAAAGGTACACTCAGTTGGTATGATAGTCGAACTGTTTTTCAAGTTTCATATCACTGCTTTCACGAAACGGTGTGAATTATGTCATGCGATGAACTCATACTACGGTATATCTTAATTTTATCAACACTGCGAGGAATTGTGCACGTGTGTCGATCACGCCATGCTCGGAAAAATCGGCTTCTGTGTGGCGTAACCAGGCTTCCATGTTGTCTGGCCAGAAGAGCATCAGTTGAATCGAAGGCGGGGACAAAGTCTCAAGTTTAAGTACTTTAGGTGTCTGTTCAGTCATGATGAAATATGAAGTGCAAGAATGAACGAGGGAAAAATATATATATATCGAAAAACACGAAAAAATGTCAAAATGTATGAAAAATTAAAATGTGGCAATGATATATAAAATCCCAAAAAGGAACAGAGTCACGTTTTACATTTTGGTGTACCAGATTACGTGAAGCACGCCAATGAAGATGCCATAGGTATTCAGAGTTTGACAACGCTTTAACCAGTAACGCCTTCTAATATGAAGCGTACCCACCAAGTAAAATAAAAAAACAGAAGCGAGGAAGTTCGAAGATATATTTGATGGACTATTAGTATATCGAGAATCGTCTGATTTAATCTGGCTAGCGATTGAAGTAGATGTTGAGCACGGTATTCCCACCACTGATCTGGTGCGGAGCATGACCGAGCGCCTTCAGTTAGATGAGTCCATTAAAACTACTGTGGTCAGCATCCAATGTCGAAAACTTACAAAGCTATTTATTTACCGCTACAGAATGATTACTTGAAGCGTCGTCTAACTTAATTTTATAAATACTTATTAATTTGATATGTTCAATAACCCGCTATCTCTACTAACGATAACGCTAAACATATAACTAAATTATTTTTGACTTCCATATAACCAGGGGTTCACTACTGTCGGATTAATTATAGGTGTAAGATCCAAACTAAGGTTTGAACTGAAGAATAGCTGTTTAGGTGGGTTAGATATACGCTTTTGCCCGGTTGAAACTAAAAGAAAGTAATAGGGTCAAATGATGGCTCTAAACAAATCTGACAACCTAGCTACTCAAACAATAATCAAATCTAAATTACAATAACAGTCACTACAAATAAACGTTGTTCTATCCTGTCCGAATAGAGCACGCAAAGGTTCGTTCAGAAGTTAATATTTAGTTGCTTTATAACAATTCCAATTCTGGAAAGGTTCTATTCACAATCAAAAAAATGCACAGTTCCAGTCAATACAAGCGACACAATCAAAAGGAGGAACAAATTAATATGGCTGCCTCCAAGACTAAGTACCAAGTAAAACATCATAAATGCAGTTCAGGAAGAAACACGAAAACTTAGTTAAGGCGTAAGAAAAATAAAATTTATAATAAAATACGAATATTCACAACTCAGATGGAATCAAAAAGACTAACAATGTACAACCAAAGGAGTCAATAGAAACAAACGGCAAGTGTATACATGGAGGGGTTGTCACACAGAAAACATTCAAAATGGATCTTACAACCAGTATAAACTATTAGTGGTGTTACAAAACGCATAACTTCTTGAAAATATCCCATTGAGTGATACGAAGAGTGCTAGTAATTCTTAATGTACATAACTCATTCCACTGTAGAATGGTAAGTTCAAACAAAGTCTGTAAACTTTCATCATGTGATTATCTGGCTTTCTACAGTCTTCATTTCCAGATGGTATTCTATATATTACGTTTTTTGTGGATCAGTTATTTGAAAAATCAGGCCACCTATCTTATTAAGCCACAAATTTCTTTTTAAAAATACTACATATGATTGAACTCCGCGCGATTTTCGAACGGGAAGTTTAGTCCTAACGTGATTTGCATATATCAAACTTTTGCTGTGTTCTTAAGCAACAAAAGTACCATTTCAGTTCTAAAAAATCTATCCTGAGCTATACGTTCGGTAGATTACTTTTTTTTTGAGTTTCACTATATTTAATAGTTACCTGTGGTTTTGCCTCAGCTTACTATTCGGTTTTTTTTGTTTTTCACGTATAGACTAGTTTCAGTTTACATCACTCGTTTTGTCCGTTTTTGTCCGTTTTCAGTGTGCATTTTAGTGTTTTTTTTAAAAAGGTCTTAAGCTTTTGCCAGCATCTATAACATAGTTTGCTTCAACACCGTCATGAAAAACTCATGCAAACGTCCGGGATGCCGTTTTGCTGTCACAACCAGCATGCAGTGTGACAACTGCAAAGGTTGGTTTCACGAAGCATGCACAAATCTGACAGCAACTGCTTACAACAAACTCAGCAAGTCAGACCAAAAGTGGGTATGTGTCACGTGCAACACGGACGCAGTAGTCTTGCTGAGTAACATCATTGTCCTACTGACAGGTCTTCGAAACAAGCTGTCAGTTAACTTGGAACACGACAGTAAAAAAACCGATATACAAACAAGAGCGCGCAACGGACTCAAAAATAGGGATGTCGATAGGTATGTCATCGATGGAGCATCCATCAACACTAACGACGACGTGTCGAGGCTCAGTACCATGATTACGTCGACGGTACTAGACTCCCTAGGCAAACTCGGGTCTCCCAGCTCAGGGTCGCTGAACACAACAGTGGTTCCCAAAAACCCTGCAGGCGATTCGACCCACGTTAAGAGAGCCCAAAAGAACCAGGCATCACCGCCTAAGCCGAGCAACCCAAGTGTTGCTGCACGGAAAATAACTGGTGATTTAGTCGCACAGTCTACCCCCAAGACTGTTCGTCCGGTCAATAAAGAGCCCAAGATTCATAAACGCACACTGACCTCCAAAAAACAAGTTATTAAACCTGAACCCATCGTGAAACCTGGTAAATTAACAACAGTTCGTGACGATTCTCTCATTATCATGAACCTCGTCGACAATCCTGACCTTCCTCTCAGTCTGCAGGATAAAACGACAGGATGCTGTGGGGTGAATTGAACAAAAAGCTCGAACTTCCTAGAATAGAGCCTTTGACGGTCACCCGGCTCACTCGAGGAAAGGATTCTAAGCATCTAAATCACCCGAGGCTTCTCCGAGTAACACTTAAGGATGCTACCGACGTAGAGGACGTCTTGCTAGCAAGTCACTTACTGAAATCAGATGGTAACGTAAGAATATTGCCCGACATACCGTACTCTGAGCGCAATATCATACGAAATGTCCCTAAAGAATCTCGCGAGAAGTTCTTCCGCGGAAGAAACATAATTGTCCAAGGTATACCGGAAAATGCAGACCCTACTCAATCAAATTCTGACATCAGGGAATGGAAATTCATCAAACAGTCCTTGAGGCTCAAACACATACTGACTCAGCATGTGACGAGAC